TCAGACATTTTTCTACTGGTTTGAACTCTAAACTGTTTTCAACTGGCAAAGAAGACAAGGCTTGTTTAATTCATTTGCCTCTTTTTTTCAGCTACAAACTCGCCATACTTCTAAGCTGCGTCACACAGTGAGTATGGAGTCCTGCTGATCCATGTTTAACAAAGTTCCACTCAGAGTTTATGGAGAAGCAAGGATTCCTTCGGAGAAACACATCCTGTTTTTTTCAATTGATTTTACTTTGATTCAATGTAATTATTATCATACATCATAACACACACAGATGAAATAACCACTTGAGTAAAATTAAAGTCAAGTTTAATAGAAGTCCCACATTCACCCTCCCCCACACACCCTATACACACAAGTTTGTAGAGAACAGAATTTCTCAGCTGTTCTGACTCTTGTCCCCTTTTTCCCCTTGAGAGGCCATTCTGTGCTTCTTCTATCAACATTGCTGAGATGAAACAAAATGATGGAGGTGTAGGAAGTCCAGCTCTGCTCTTTGCCATTAAGCGAGTCTCTTGGTCAAAGTTTCTAGAGACGTGGGCTGCTTTTCAGTCTCAACTGATTTGTATCTTGTTCCTTCCCTCTAGGAAGGCTTGCATTTCCAAGCACAGTCTTGGCATTCACTGGTGTGAACAGTAGGGAAATCAAGGTAGCACAAGGAGGTTTAATGAAGCTATTTGGAGACTCTAAGGGAAGCCTAATGTTTCTGGAGGGTCTAACTATCTGATAATTCTCAGGGGCCGAGTCAAATCCTGTTGCCATTCATTGCATCTGATTCTTCAGAGAAAGAAAACTCAGTGTAACATGTTCCCCAAAGCTGAATTAGGACTCAGAAGTCTGCTTCTCTTGTGAAGTCTGCTTCTCTTGTAATAGCGTATGTTCAAACTCCTTCTTCAAGGCAATCATTAAACTGTGGGTTTTCACTTTTAAGGATCTGAGATTTCCATATGAGTTAGTGGTCTTCAGGTTGGTGAGACTAGTACAAAGGGTCACATGTTGGCAAAATCTCACTTGTACATGATGCACGCTGCAGGTAGCTGATGTGTGTGCACACATGGGCACCAGTCCACCGTGGTCCTCCCCTGCACAGAACTGCCCTGATGTCAGCATGCCATTCACATCAGTTCCCTCAGCATGAGGGAAACACTAGACCTACTGGTTTGAATGACAGAATTCTCACAGTAGACACTCTTGGGGAAAATGAATGTGCCTAATTGTTTTTTTTCTTTTTATTCTCAATTGAGCTATTTCAAACTAATATGGCAGCTAGATGGCTTCTTTTTTTTTATAAACACTTTCTTTCTAGCTGCCTCTTCTCTGGCAATCTTGCCAGATCATGCCAGTCTGGATCTGGTACGTGTCCCTGGGCTTCTCCCTGGGGTTGTAGGGATCATGCTTTATGGCATTGAACACTTCTCTTAATGGGTCCTTACACTTGAAATCCAGCTTTGAGGGATCCTGTTGTACACTGCTGGAACCGGGTTTCAGCTCAGCAAACATTAGAATAATGAACTAACAGTTTGACTTCACACAATCAAAACTTTGCAAATGATCTGTTTGACTCTGCCCTGTGGTAACACTTCCAGGCATAATGGACAGTGCGGCACTTCTTGGACAGGCAGCAGGATTAATAGATTAGCTTGAGGAATAGAACTCATTGCATCAGGTAGAATCAGAGCTTGGCTCAGATTTCCTGAAGGCCAGTCTGAGGATTGTCATGTCCCATTCCTACCTTGCTATCCATGTATACATACCTGTGTGTGTGTGTGTGTGTGTGTGTGTGTGTGTGTGTGTGTGTGGTAGTAGTAGTAGTAGTAGTTTTCTGAATAGCATGGTTAATGTAGTAGTTAGCAATAGTATTGACTATTTGACACATTAGGAAGAGAGGCAAAAAGCCAGCATTTCATGAATTTTAAAGAATGAAATAGTGTATTACGTATTTTCCTATTTTGTATGTATGTAGAAGTGTGGGTTTGTGTTTGGGGTGTGTGCACATGTAGAATAGAAAGTGTGTGCACAGCCAGAGGTTGACAACTGATGTCTATTCAATAGTCTATTGTTTCATCGCTATATTATGTCTTCACTCTTACCTGTTCGTTACGTCCAGAAATTTTCCATGTACATAAGCAGTTTTGTAAGTGTGTGTTAGTTTTTATACTGATGGGATCGCTTGATGTATAAATTATACTGACTTTGTCTCTCAATTAAACAGTCTCTGTCTCCCTGGCACTCACATTCTCAGTTGCAGTCCCCATACCACTATGGGAGGAGAGCTTTTCTGAGCCTGATGATGCTACTTCTTTGTTGAAAATGGAGAATGCTTAACGTTGTATACAAATGAACTGCTTGTAAACAAGCCAGAGTCTGTAGGGCAATAACAATGTGGGAGCAAGTGTGAGTCCCTGAGTGTGCTGTTCAGTACAACCTGACTAAGAAAGACACTATCTATGGTAAGCCCTCGGTGCTATGTGCCAGCCCACAGGCCTCTCTCAAGTCACATCAACTGTCCATAAGCTTTGGTTCTCACGTGCTATAATAACATATCTCTTTCAATAAAAGGAAAGAAAACATCCCCTTGTCATGATGCCTTACAGAGTTGATAATAACCAGATAGGTAATCAGTAGAGACAATGGGGAACTCTGTGGAGGTGGTTAATTTATACTGGGTGATGAAGGGGGAGCTCTGATGATGGTGGCATTGTCTGTATGAAAAGATGACGAAATTTCAGCACTTTTTCTGTCATGTATGGACATAAGAAGAACCATGAGAAACTGGCAGTGACCTCAGACTCCTCAGGTCAGAACTGCGGGAAGTTTGTATGTTTGACACACACAGTCAATGGTATTAGACATAGTATCTTTAGCTTTCCACAGAGGTTTAGCTCATAGTGGCTTATCATTCTACAGATGAAGACAATCAACCCAAGAAACAAAGCCACGTAACTCAGTGATGAATTTGAATCTACTGCCTTTCAGGTCAAAAGACTGTGGCATCTTGGGATTGTACCCAGTCCTCTGGATTCTGAGCTTAGCATGGAACGCTGGGTATAGAGCTGCTGGCGTGACAAGCATGATTGTCACTGTTACGTTGCTTCAGTTCTAAGATGCAAGAATGCACAGTCCAAGTTTGAGATTACAGATGCTGTCACAGAGGCCCACGAATTTTACCAGTGAATTCCATCTCTGAAAACTTTAATTTTCTCAAGTAGACAACATACTTTATAGAACTGTGATTAAGAATAATTAATATTTTATAAGCACTTAATATTTTCATTTATTCACTTATCCAATAAATATTCATCGACTGACTGATTGATGACACAGGGGATTAGAACCAGGGTCCTTGCATATTGTAAGTTTATACCTCTGAGCTTTAGCCCTAGTCATATTAAATATTCACTAAATGATTATGTGCCACAGACTGTACGTATCAATGAGACTATTGTAGTGAATGAAACACATCCTATCCCTGATGAAGCTTAGAGCCTGGCAGGTGGACCGTTCCTTCCACAGAAAATAAAAAGGCTCAGTTAATATTTCTGAAAACAATTTTTAAATTTTTTTAAATCACTGTTTTCTGGCTCTCTCCTTTAAAATTTAACCATTATTACTTCTGTGTAGTACAAAAAAAATGAAAACCCAGAGACTGATATTGGGGTTCAAGCTTCAAGCTGAAGATCAGAAAAGCAAAGCAGCCGGCTACTTGCTCTTTCCACTACCTCAGGCTGAAAGGGATGTTCTCTCCCCAGTATGTCTGGAAAATAAATCTCCACATGGGGCCCTTTGTTTTTCCTTTTATCCCTCTCAAATCCTAGGATTAAAGGCGTGTGATTCTGAGTGATCACACCTACGTGTGAGCTGTTTCTCTTTAGGACTGGATCAATTTCCTGTAGCTCAGCATGACCTTGAACTAACAGAGACCCACCTGCTTGTCTCCTGCATCCCGGAATTACAGGCGTGTGCCACCACCTGGCTCTATGGCTTGCTAGTATGGACTAAAGGTGCGTATCATCTGCCCCTATGGTTTGTCACGCCATTGTTTGTGGCTAGCTTTGCTTTCTGTACCCTCAGGCAAGCTTTAATAAATCACAAATGATATATCACCACAACTTCTTAATTATTGGATATGTTCTCAATCTTGAACATCACTATACTCCCGTTGAAACCAAAAGCACATCTATCTTCCTGCCCTTGGCCTCCCCTGTTCACATTCTTGGAAAGCTAAATACTAACAGAAAATTTGGCATGCATTCCATACTATGCTGTTTTAAAAATGGGCTTTTGAAATTGACCTGCCCATATGTGAGAGCTTACACATGGTACATAAGGATAAATCTATCTGATAAAAAGTAGGTTGAAAATCTGGTTAAGATTACTTACTTGATGTCAACCAAGCATCCCAGTCTATGAGTTCTGCTGGGCTGTACCTAGTCAGAGCATGCCTAGCAAGAAGAATCTGCATTCCAAGAGATCAGCTTAGGAGCCCCAATAGAGAGAATGTCAGCCTGGTAAGGTCCACGTGAGACCTGCCCAGGAATGTGAAGAAAGGTCAGCAAGGTTAGAGGGTAAACACAGCACCATACGCTTGGTAAGTTCGAGAAGTGAGTCTTGCATGCAGGAGCGTTTGGCTTCTTGTCCTGAGCTACAGATGTCTGTTTGAACAGCGGTGTCTGCTGGAGCTGCAGTGATGAGGCTGACTGCTCTGATTTGTGATGGAAAAACAGCACGGAATTGGGTCAGCAGAGCACATGACTTTAATAGCCTCCATCTGCCAGATAAACTCATTTGGAGAAAAAATGAACATGTGAGCAAAAGGTATTAACATTCTTCCGTGATAGCATCTACATATAATTCAAAAAGCCAAGTGACAGAGAGTTAGTTTTCCTCTCACTGCAAGAGGGCAGAAGCTGGTATATCACATGCAATTAACTGTCTGGTTTCAGTGCTGCAGATGGCAGAGACTCCAGGCTTCCCCGGCTGAATGCAGAACCCACCTTCCTCCCTCGCAGGCACTGCTGAAGTTCCGGCTTGGTTAGGGTGTCGTGTTGGCAGTTGTGTGGCTGCCAGGTGATTTCTCTCCAGTCACAGGTCCTGTTGTCTGAGCAACTGAGGCAAGGCACAATCCACTGACCTGGGATACACAGCAAGACTTCATGTGGCTTAGTTTCTGCTGGCGAAATTACACTTTGCAAGTACAGACCTCAGTGTCACACAACACAGAAGTTAGCATGAGAAGACCATTCTTATCTAATAAACCCAGTGGGAAAATGCACAACCTCTTCCGAGTCAAGCAGAAGAGCAACATGACGCCATGTTGTGAATAATAGTTCATGCTGAAGTCAGGGATGAGTTCTGTCCCATGAAAGTACATAAGCACAAAGGAAACACGTAACTGCGTGCTACTCAACCATTAACTTGCTTTTGAACTTCAATAGGGCTAAAGTCTATTAGGAGTTCCCAAGTTGTCTGTGGACCTCAAATTTTTATCAACCTGACATATCAGGTTGTCAGTACAATAAGAGACATGTTCCTCTTACTCAAGAAATTTTAAGTGGAAGAGAGATACATCAGTATTCCTAGGTTTGTTTGTGTGTTTTTTTATAGCTGTGTCCTCTTGGTTTCCTCATAACTTGGATGAGGTGATTAGTGTGAGAGGATTTGGTGTGAGGATGCAATGAGCTAATATATTTAGATTAAAATCTACTTAGTTGTTTTGTGGGGTGCACTGCCAGTGGAGGTCACCAGCAACTCTCGGGAGTTGATTCTCTCCTCCCACCATGTTAAGGTTGTAGGGTGTCATTTGTTTATTTGCACTGCTGCACTGCTTTCTCCAGGATGGCTGGCCTGGAAACTTCTGGAAGATTCTCCTGTCTCCACCTTTCATATTTCCATAGGAGTTCCAGGGTTACAGCTGGCCATGCAACATCAGAATTTTTTTTACATGGGTTCGGGGACGGAACTCTGGTCGTTAGGTTTATGCATCGGGTACTTGTACCCGCCGAGCCATCTATCTCTTCAGCCTCAAGACAAATTTTAAATGAAACTTTGTGCCTTTTCCAAGTCTGATTTGCGAGGCTGTGTGCAAAGTCTCTAGTGTGATATGACTTGCAGTGGAGAGATTTTCAGCCTTCTGGACATGAATATAGTACCTATTACATTCACGACCTCAGGAGTGTCAGAATTGTGTATGCGAGCGTTGGTGTGTGTTGAAACGGTTGTAAATAAGCTACAAAGTGAAATACAGTGCATGGCCTCTACAGGTCTGCCACAGAAAGGGAAAAATAGTGTCAGCATATTAAGAGAAAGGAGCTGGGAGGGGAAAAATAAAAGGAAAAGGACATGAATTGCAAGAAAGGAGAGGACTGTACACAGAAGTAACTTTGGCAGGTAGAGTGATGGGTGAAGCAGGAACCCAGCACCAAAGCTTCCTGGAACACAGGCACGCACACCCTTCTCTAGACACATTTGTCTTTTTTCTGGTTTTTAAATCTATAGAGAATTTCAGAAAATGGCCGTATCCGGCGTCTACACATGAGTACTCGCAGTTTCAGGAATGGTCACCACGTCCATCACTACGTTGCTCCTTGGCAGATCACTTCTTCCTTCAGTGTGCTGTTTTAACTGCAGGCATCAAGGATCAATTCTCGTAAGGCACTGGGTGCCACACATTAAAATGTCACAGGAATATAAAAATAGCTAGTATTTTCATGTGCCAATCACATTTAAGGGGTTTGACATGTGAACTTATTTAACCTTCAAAACTATCTTGCCACCTCTCCAAATGGAATTCAGGAAGATGGTTTCCCCCTGAGAAGGGAGTGGAACAAGGATTTGAGCTGAGCAATCGGGGCCCACCCTTTCAATTATAATCCCAAATCTAAGAAAAAAAAGCATTGATATTCTGATTCAAGGGTTAGCACGTTAGAGATCATGATAGTATCCTGATAGGTAATGCAACATTGAGTAGAAATGTCTGTGATGGTGAAATGGCGTGGGCTGTGGGACACACAGGTCCCTAGGCTCTGCATCCTCTCGTTAGTTTGTGGAACTCAGCATGGATTGCAAATCTGAGCCAGAAAACTTTTAAAAATCCCCTGCCTAGAAGGCACATTGGTGCAACAGTAAGTATGAGTTTTACCCATCTCTCTCTATTTCTTAAAATGCTTTCACATGGTTCCCTAGCAAAGTCGAGGTTGCAGCCCTCTGTTTCAATTGGACAAATGACTTAATGTTTTCATGATTAAATTTACTACTTTATAAGGAAACTATGTATGCACCTGCCATGGTGCCTGGCACTTAGCTGCCCATAAATAGATTTTAGTCCTGTGTCCTAACCACAAGTATGCCGTGGTGGTTCACAGTAAAGTAAAAACAGAGAGTTTTCTGGAAATTTCACTGGATGGAAACAGGACTTTCCTGAGAGATGAGTTTCAGAAGTATTGAAGGCATGATATTTTGTGAGCAGTGAAGGGACGAGCCTATGAGGAGTGAGGTACAACTGACTGGCCTCTGCACAGACTGCACACACTGGGAAAGCTGTTTCCACAGTGTGCAGATGGACACAGAGAGAACAGAACTATTGTTCAAGGACAGAAGGTGAAGGGGCCACAGGGGGTTTTAAATGGCAAAGGGAAGAGATTTACCTCCAGAGGGTGTGCAGAATGGCCTGGGATGGAGTTGGAAGGGAACTCAGAGCTGGTAAAGACTGTGGCTGAGAGTTTTCTGATAGGATGTCGGTATGTTAGGGAAGTGTTTTATTTATTGTTTACAATCAGACCCCTGCATATAAAAGAGCATCATGTATCTAGAACACTTTTAGTTCCCCAATCTTGCTGATGGTTAACTTCCCACAGACTGAAGGATTCTGTGGCTACTTCCATTATGAAGAAAAAAAAATGGTCAACTGAAAGAAACATTCAAATATGGATGCAATTAGTTTTTGTGCATTAAGTCTTACATATGTTTTAAGAAAGGCTTGATTTGGTATCTGCAAACTTGGCCCCTATGTCACACACTACTGCATATCTGTGCAGCCACGACTTTTTCCATGTTTTTAATCAGTTAGCAACACCTTTATTTACTGTGAGTTGAAGTGGCCATCTGTACAACATCTGTGAGACTGGGATTCTTGACATCTTAAATGACACCAACTCTTAACTAAAGTTGTCAAAAAAGGAGGGGTATGCACCCTTTGCCATATATTTAAACAGTGAGTGAATCCAAGCTGTAACTTTTGAAATCAAGTATGATATGTATGTTAAGTAATGACATCCTGGGGACCAAAACTATCTTTTAGAAAAGTTATTTTCTTTATAGTTTGAGCTCTCTGCTGAATGCAGAGATTTCAATCACTTGAGTGAACTATATTGGATGGCATCATGAAGAAAAATGTTTTTGTCTTTTAGGACCATGGTGGACATAAAATCATGTAAATACTAATCTCTCTGTTCTCTCTCTCTCTCTCTCTCTCTCTCTCTGTCTGTCTGTCTGTCTCTCTCTGTCTCTGTCTCTGTCTCTCTCTCTCTCTTCCTATTCTCTTGATTGTGTCATAGATTTCTGTGGAAGGAAAAAAGATTTAAATGTTGGTTGAGTTTCGTAAGCCAGGTTTTTTTTTACTGACTATTAGACATTGGAAGACCAGTACGGACAATTTATGTTCTTGAGAAATCTAATCTAGGGAAACCATCAGTAAAAACATACTGTTCCATGTGCCCTTGACGTCTTAGTACATAGACACTGTAAGATATGCAGATGCTCCTATGTTTATATATGGTGTCCTTCATAAAACATGAAAATAAAAATGTTTAGATACAAAGCAGATGCACATATATTTTCGTCTTTGTTAGCTTCATCCCCAGGACTGCTCCGTAATGTTCTCTTCTCTTCCTGGTGTACATCATGCCATTCTGGAGACCACTGGTCTCTGATACACTTGAAAGAGAAGGAAGTAGGCACTATGATAATACCATGCCTGGATGGCTCTGGGAACATAGAGAAGCTATACTGGGAATGTGGCAGAGAGAGGCTGGCTGGAGAGGAGGGTATGGCATCAGATGGTAGGAAATGACTCTATGGAGGAAGTCTTGTAATTTCAGGCTGTAAGTCATGGCAGTCAGCATGGGGGCCTTCTCTAAAGGGGTCTAGAAGTGTACCAAATCAAGTCCATGCACTTAAATAACAGAAGGCTGCTTCTCTGTGACATCCTCCCCCACAGGGAAGTTCAGACAGAGATGTCCCAGAGCCCAGCTGACATGACTGCGCACTTCACAGTATAGAACACACTGCTGTCTCCAGAGCAGACAGTGTCGTGAACTTAAGAGTGGAAGATGCTTTGCCTCAGTTGTCGTACAAGGAGTAGAATCAAGTTGCTTTATGGCTATCATAAATTGTCAACTGATTAAAACAATACTGAACTGGACACATAGGTGTCTGCTTTGAAGGCTGAGTGTGTGTCTCCTTCAACAGGCAGACACAGATCATGGCACCTGACCCTCCTTAACAGGCCAGTCCCTCCCTGACTGGAGTTTATTATTTAGAACACATGTTCAAGAATAGGACATACCCACGTTTGCTAACTGCATGCCAAATTGCAATTTGCCCTGCCCATTTGGGAAACACATTTCCTGTTCCAGAAGCTGTGTGAAGTTCACGGCAAGGCTAGTGCAGCTGTGTGTGTTTTCTCCGGCCTTTCTGAGAAGGGGAGTCCTAGGGTCAGGATGGAGCAGTCACCAGGACAGTTGAAGAACACATGCCCTGAGTCTCAATTTCAATACTAGCTTTGTGTGATGGTGCTCTCCCCGCTGGAAGTAGACTGGAAGAAGGAAAACTTAAGAGAGTGGAATCAGAGGAGCATCTCATTGCAGGTCTGGTCATGGCTCGAGAAAGGTGTAATGCTGCAACCTGATTCTGAAATCCTCCTTTGCCTATTTGAATGAATGCTCAAAATATGAGGGATATCTGTAGTCATTTCCAATCATTTGTCTAGAAAACAAATTCTTTAAAACTGGAATTACGTATGGAATTATGCCTGTATGTAGTGAGTTGCTGTAACACGAAAAAGGGAACTGGGGGTATAACTCAATGGGTGAAGGTGCTTGCTTCTGGGCCAGGAGACCTCAGGTTCCTAGAGACCCAGATGACAGAAGGAGAGAACTGACTCATACAGGCTGTTCTTTGACCCTCATGTGCATGTCTTGGTATACACACACAAATGAAAATGTGATAAAAATTCAGTGGAAAAAACCCAACTTCCTGCCTCATGAAACCAATATCTTGGGAAGAATGACACTAAACAGTGAATTACATACTTAAGTGTAGAGATTGTGATACAAGAAAAGCAGAGATAGGAAATGAGTTCAAAGCTAAAAGAAGGCTCCTGGCAGGTTTGACCTTTGACCTGGGATTTCTAGATGGCTATGGGTTAGAAATGAACCATGCAAAGGATTTGATGAATCAAGTGTTTCAAATATGAAAACAATGCATTTACATTTATAGTATGTTTATGTGAGGGGAAAAAGTAGGGTCTTTGTTTAAAACAAGGATAGACTAATGAAACATATTCTAAGGATATTTAGAAGAACTATCCAAATTGTCTTAGAGAAATAATAACTATGAAATCACCTTTAGTGTCCCCTGATGGACAGCTCTCTATTTTAGGCTGTGAAATGGCTTCAATGTAGTCTGAAGAAATAGGCTGCAACCCACAGGTTTCTTCTGGTTTAATCAATAAACTGCAATCCTGCATTAAAATGAAAAAAGATAGCTGTCACATCATTAACAGATCCTATGATTAGGAAAACAGGAAGACACTAGGCAGAGTTCTGAGACTCACTAGCTGGCCAGCTTGGCCTACTTAGTGAGTTCCAGGTCAAGCTCTTGCCTCAGGAAGAATACTGACAACTCCTGAGTTTGCTCTTTGGCGTCTGCATGCATGTGGCCACACAAGAATTGTTGGGGTCTTACATTTTGGAAATCTATTCCACCCTACCATGAGTTAGGAGAGCCCAGAATTTCTATTGTCTTTTAGATGTCAGCTAATAGCTGCTGGATGTCCTGGCCTTGGTGGAGAATGACTCCTATCTAAATAACAATAGACTTGGGCCAAGGGTGAGTGTATACCACCCTCAAGGCTAGTGAGATATGCTGGGGTAAAGGTGCCTGAAGACTTGAGTATGTGTTGCAAAGGGATATATATACGATTAAGGGAAATAATTGCTATCTGTGCTTACACTTGATAATAGATGTCTTCTGCCATTGCCCCACCTTTGGAGGTTACTTAAGATAATGCATCAATAAACTAGGCACCTTCATTATTAACTGATTGCCCTCCTGTTATTATTAAGATGTCTCCGTGTTTTCTTTAACGTTGTTGGACAGCTAACTTTCCCTCATCCACACTCCCCCACTCAGGGTTGGACCCAGGGTTGTTCAACTGGCTCCTATTGCAGCCCCGAAGACGTAAGTCCATGGCAAATGACTCTGGAACGTGGGGCTAATACAGATGGTCAGTGGCAATGAATGCCCATCTGCATACACACGAGCACCAGCACATACAATTTGAACTGTGTACACACACACACACACACACACACACACACACAAACACAGATTTTCTGTGACAAATAACCATTAAGGATGAAAGGAGTACAAAATCAGTCGGTGTCAGAAAAGGGTGCTACAGCCCACAGTTGGATATACTGTGCTCATTTTATGAAAAAAGAGAATTGTGGGACACTTTGAAAGAGCTGACTGCACTTGGGAATTTCAGATCTAACCATCCCATGAATTGGTGGTGATATTAAATCACACGATTGTGCTTTCTCATTACAAAATAGTGGAGGGTAGTGAGCAGAGAGAAAGGAATTGCATCACATGGCCTCAAGTTCTGTGGCAGGCTGTCTTAGGTGCCTGTACAATAGCCACCCATATTTCCTTCCTACTTCAAATTTTGCTGTTGTTGGAGGTAGCTATGTGCTCCATGTTTAAAACAAATCTATTTTCCAGCATTTCCTGTGGATAAAATGGGTCACAGGTATAGCTGTAGCCAAGAAATGTATGTGAATTTCAGGAAAAGATTTAAGTCCCTAGTAAGACATTTTCCTTTTCTCTGCTGTATCTTCTTTCATGAAAGGTACAAATGTGAGACTAAAGAATGAGCAACCTTCTTGTGATCATGAAGCAACTTGGATCAGAAAGTGTGTAGATGACTCAATGGCAGGACTTCCATGTATCTCACAATAAAAGAAAAATATAGTGATATATTATTTATTAAAGCTTGACTGAGGATTCAGAAAAGCAAAGTCGGACTCAAGCTATAGAGATCAGGCAGTGGTGATACACAACTTTAATCTCAGCAGCAGAATCTAGGAGGTGTGGTACACACCTTTAATCCTAGGACTCAGGATTAAAAGATAGATGGAATCTCAGAGTTGTTTTGACTTAAATTTCCCTGATGACTAAGGATGTTGAACATTTCCTTAAGTGTTTTTCTGTCATTTGAGACTGTTCTGTTGAGAATTCTGTATTGACATCTATACCCCCCTTTTTAACTGTGTTATTTGGTAGTTTGAGTTCTAGTTTCTTGAGTTCTTTGTATATTTTGGGGATCAGCCCTTTGTCAGATGAGGGGTAGGTGAAGATCTTTTCCCATTCTGTAGGGAGCTGTTTTATCTTGTTGACTATGTTTTTTGCTTTACAGAAGCTTCTCAGTTTCAGGAGGTTCCATTTATTAATCATTGCTCTTAGAGTCTGTACTACTGGTGTGCTATTTTGGAAGTGGTCTCCTCTGCTACAGGATGTTTTGGTGTGTAAGAGAGAAAAGGTGCTTGCTTCAGGTTCTATTAGTTGGGATTGTGGTCACTCACAAAACAACTAGTTAGATTTGACCTTACAAGTTACCATCCTCAAATATGGCCTGTACACTATAAGCTCTCCAGAAGGTCACAGGAGCCCCGGTTTCTAGGTCAAACATGTTACCAGTCACTTTATTTTCCCTAGCATCCCATTTATCTCCATGCCTTTGCTTAGACTGAGTCCCTCTGACTTAATTCTTTTCTCTCTTGACTTCCACTGATGCCATGTGGACCTGTGCATTTGTATTTATTTGCCATTGGAATTGCTTTGATCTCTTCATGGATCTCTCTTGTCTACCCTATTGACAGCCCACCCATTCATTTCCTGTATTGCTGCTAAATGTCTTTCCCATATGCAAGTCTTATTAACCCCTCCTTTCTGTCTGAACCCTTTCTCTAGGCTGTATTGGAAGAATTGACTCAAACAGCTGTTGGCTTGTCCAAGACACTTTTCTCTGTTGTCTCTGTACCTTTCCCTCCACAGCTGTCTGATCCCCCTCCACTCCCGCCATCTTCTGTCGGTGCCTCTTCTGCATAGCTGACTCTGGTGTCAGGTGTGTGTGGTGTTGCTCTTTTCTTATTGTTCTATGGTCACTTTCTTTATCACTCAATCGCTTTCTGTGAGGAAAGAGAGCCTGACTTCCATGTTTACAGCTTCTGTCTCTATAGCATGTCACCAGGAACACCACAGTTATGCCATGGAAAACGTGGTGTGTGCCTGTGTGTACCTCACAACAATGGTCATGTTGTTTTCTTCCAATTGTGAGGAGAAAAGACACAAAGCAAGTTTTTTTTTCCCTAGATAGGGTTAAAAGTTTTTTTTTTATGAGACAGGGTTTCTCTGTATTGTTTCGGGGGCTATCGGTCCAGCTCGGCCTCGAACTCACAGAGATCCGCCTGCCTCTGCCTCCTGAGTGCTGGGATTAAAGGCGTGCGCCACCACCGCCCGGCAAAAGTTTTTTTTAAGTACTTACATTCCATTTACTTAGGAATGTAGGAAAGATGACCCCTAAATAACAGAACACAATAAAAATTAAATAGCACTAAAGGAAGCACTTGGAATATTGTTGGGGAATATTGCTTAAATCATCAGAAGATGCTAGCTCCTAACAGAAATAAAGTACATTTTATTTTTTCCAAAAATCCATCATAAGGGTCTTCTGAGAAAGTGTCAAGGTGCCCTGTAAGATCTGATATTTTATGGTGAGTTCTACAAAATGAAAAAAAATGAAGTATTTAGATTTCAAGACTTGCCAGGAATTTGATTGAGGTTCTTCTATGGAACTCAATACACAATTTTGATTTTGAAACCTTTGTTTCTTTTTGGCAAGAAGATGGTGTTCTTAAACACATACTGAAAAATAAGATCATATGTCCTGAGTTGAATGTTGCTCAAATGCCTATTAAGGAAAACTACATCATAAATAAGTATAACTTGGTACAATATTTAAACAAATATGGTCATTTATGTATTTAGGATATGCAGAGTTTTGTTGTTATAAAAGTTCCATATTCACAAATATAACAAGAGACATTAATACACATCCTTAATTTATTAAATATATATTAGGTAACTCAGCTTCTCTGTGAATATAGTATTCATATGAATATCAGTTGCTATTTGGAGTTCCTAAAACACCTTCCTCATGAAAAAAAAACCGACAAAAACTTCATGTTCTCAAGTGTGAAACTGAAGCATAATAATAATAATGATAGTTGAAATTACTATGCAATTTTTAGTGTCTTCCACATATCAGCAGTCGTATTACGTAATTTATAAATACTACCTTTTTCTCATCAATTTAGAAATAAGAGAAATGCTTTGTGAGCTAGGGTTTAAACTCAGTCTCTCTTGCTTTAAAGCAGTTAACTCTCCCCAAGCATGTCGGTGATGTCCCTAAAGACAGAGTAAGAGATTACATTTATTATCTGAGCTGAGGCTTTCTGGGAAAGGTTCAGTCCTTTTTCTGCTTTACTCCACCTTCACTGCAACCTCAATTTGGAATTTGGTTGGTCCAAATCAGCTATACATGAACTTAGTTTGGTATATATTAGTCTATGGTGTGAGCTCATGGCAACAAGCATGAGTTTATTTAGAATGACTGTTGGCATGTGATCATTTTAAACATGACTCCTAATAGAAAATAATGCCAATGTATGGCATCAATGAAAAGAGACTGATTCACTTAAGGATGGGTCCCAGTTCCAGCTGAAAGGCCATGAAAACAAAGACCAATGAGAAATAAAAGTAACCGTGTCTCAAAGAGAGCCTGGCATGCTGTAATTCCAACTTGCCAGACAAGATGTGCCCCTTGGTGCAATAGTGGCATGAAGATGATAAGGGTAGCCAACCACTTTGAGCTTACTTTTGAAGCCTGCTCCACAAAAGAAAATTCATGCACGGTAATATTATCCTATTCCAAAATTCATGGCTTAGGAGGCAGGCCTAAGAGGGGGAGTCTACTACTAATGTATTGCTTAATCCATATGTTGTCAAATTACCATATATATATACATATATATACATATATCTATATATTTCTACTCACAGATTAGTGATGTCCTCAACCTTAGCTAGAGATGCTTCTCTCTGCAGTGGGTTTTATTGTGGTAAAAGTTCCATGTCCAAAACACAACAAAAGACTTTAACTAAGCATACTTAATTTGTTAATGATGAATTAATGTGGAGACTCATAACTGGTCGAAGGACTGAGAGATACTCGGCCCTAAATGTTACATCTGTGTCAAATCCCCTCCTAAGGTTTAAGGAACATCACAGAAGAGAAGGCAGAGAGAATGTGAAGAGCCTGATGGTGGGAAGAGTTCTGTGAAATGCTGGCTTCTGGACATGACATGCCCAGTGCATTCACAAACTTGTTATAGATAT